TCTTCATATACTACAGGACAAGTGTTGGATAACCGGAGTCGGGCTCCTTGGCGTTTGTCATCAATAACAGATTTCTTCTGGTCAATAGCAGATTTTATAGTTCTTTTGTAAGTAGAAACTAATTCTTCTGATTCATCTTAACTTAAATTCGTAACAGATAGAAGCTACTCACCCGTATAAGTAACAAAATGCACCAGACTATTAGTTTTGCTCCTTAACACTGCATATCTACAGGATGAAAAAAGAAAAAAAATATATGACTGGATGGCATTAGTGGTTAATCACTGGATTTGGAGATTTCTCGTGACAACAAGTTTCTGGTTATGTATGGAAAATTACACAGCAGCAATCACAAACTTAAGCTTAGATTGACGTTCCTAAGGAACCAAGAGTTCTTTTCATGTCTTTAATAGTCCTTCATTATTTCAGTTACCAGTTTGTATTTCAGTTACCAGTTTGTTATCAGTAATGTAGTTACCACTTTGTTTGGTAGAATACATCTCATAGTTTTAAATATTCAACATTTGTGTTTTGTGTTTACTCCAGGTTTATTGGAGGGGAAAAAAATTACAAAGATTTGTTAAGCTGCAGTAGTAAATTAATTGAGAAATTGAAAAGACACACTGTTCATTTCTGGACACTTTTTTTGTCCTGATTCTCATTATGCAATCCATAAATGCTGAAACTCTATTTCTAGCAATCAATTTACATAACTCCTCCTGTTTTATTTTTCAGTTTCCAAAGCATCATTCAACCAGATTTGAGAAGGAGAGGCTATACATCTTCCTCCTATACTGGATCTGATGACAGAAGAGGGTAAATTTCATAGACCATGTGAATTTCATATTCACACATCAGTCTGTCTGAGCAGAATGCCTTAATGTATTCAAGTTATGGTGTGATTTGTTCTGAATCAGGTCACATACACAGACTAAAAATGTTGTATTTCCTGTGGCCTTTTCTCTGAGAGTTATTGAATACAATGTATTTGTTCTAGATGGTTGCAGTAACAGAGTATAAGTCTAACTCTCAGTAATACAATGTTTCCAAACTGCCCGGTAAGTGATAGCATCACTTGAAAAGTTTGTTAAACTTACTTATACTAAGTATTTAGTATGTACTACATCAGTCTTTGCATCTATTAGTTTAGCATAGATTATACATGAATTG